GGAAAATGAGAAGGGGAGAAGAGGAGGGATGAGGAGGACATGAGGGAACAGAAAGGTTGAGTTGGGGGAAGAACAGAAGAAAGCAAGATAAGAGATAACATAATAGAGGGAGACATTATAGGTTTAAAGATCTTTTTCCCAGTGTGCCTTTTTGAAACCTTGTTGAAAATTATGTGGCTGTGTGGGTTGGTTTCTGTATCTTCTATTCTATTCCACTGGTTTACAAGTCTATTTCTGTCCAAGTACTAAACTGCTTCTGGGGGAAAAAGAAAGGGAAAAGTTAAAAAATGGTGGTGGGCAACTTATCATTGAATTGAACTGGAATCCAGATGCAGAGAAGGACCAGTGAAGAGCAAAGGGGTCCAGACCAGGCTGGTGAAACCCACAGAAACAACCGACCTGAACATTGGGGAACTTTTGCTCCCCAGACTGATAGCTGGGAAACCAGAATTGGACTGATCCAGACCTCAGGAACATGGGGGTCAGTGAGGAGACCTGGGAAATCTATGGGGCCTCCTGTAGTAGATCAGTACTTATCCATAGCATAGGTGTGGACTTTGGGAGCCCATTTCATCCAGCAGCTCGTGAAAGTAGAAACAGACTCCTACAACTAATCACTGAACTAACTAGAATTCAGTTGCAGAGAAGGACGAGTAATGAGCAAAGGTGTCCAGACCAGGCTAGTGAAACCCACAGAAACAGCTGACTTGAACAATGGGGAGCTCTTGGTTCCCAGACTGATAGCTGGGAAACCAGAATTGGACTGATCCAGACCTCAGGAACATGGGTGTCAGTGAGGAGACCTGGGAAATCTATGGGGCCTCCTGTAGTAGATCAGTACTTAACCCTAGCATAGGTGTGGACTTTGGGAGCCCATTCCACATAGAGGGATACTCCCTGAGCCAAGACACATGACGGTGGGCCTAGGCCCACCCTCCTTGGGGAGCAGAAATGGTGTGTGATAAGTAGGGTTTTAGTTGTGGGACTAGTAGAGGAGGAGGGGAGGGAGAGGGAACTGGGTTTGACATGTAAAACAATCTTTTTTCTAATTCAAATAAAAAAAAAAAAAAAAACAGTGAGTGGTTATGACACTTAAACTTGAGTCCACTCTTCCTCACCCTTCTAAAAAAACCCAGTGAGTGGTTATGACACTTAAACTTGAGTCCACTCTTCCTCACCCTTCAGTCCTCCCTCAGCATGCTGGGAGCTCTACTCCAGAGGAAACTCTCCCACAAAGCACTTAAGTGCTATTGAATCTCTCTAAAATGAATAAAATGAGCAGCATTTCCCAACCACCTCTTCAGAGGCCAGTTTCCAGATCGGAGTATATAAGTTATCAAGGACTTCTTTCTTCCACCAGCCCTACTGAGAGCTCCACTGGTTCAATCAGGAACAGAAAGTTGATGATGCAAGGTGCAGTTATCCTTACCTCAGCTTTCTCATAGGAAGAATACTGGCCTACTGGGAAGGGAAAGCTATAGAGGTTGGTGCTACTGCCCTTGCCCAGTGCCCAGCTCATAGAGAAAGAATGCTATGTAGGAAAGGAAGAATGTTTTCCTGCTCTCAGATCTGGAGAGTGGCTCAGAGATTTGGCCACAGCATGTAAGAAGCTACCCACTGAGTTGATTTGGAATAGTGTAGAAAAGGGGTCAACTCAGAGGACAGTGAACTTTGGGATTAACAGAATGCTGCTAACTCAGTGGAAGCAACCAGCACCACAGGGCACCTAGATCACCAGAGAGAACCAGGTGAAGAAAGATCGGTGAGGATGAGCAGGATCTCCTTCCTCCCAAAGCCTAGAATGGTCAAGGAGCCTGAGTTCACCTGGGTCAGACTGTGAAGCAATTTATGCACCGAGACATTATTTTAGAAACTAATTAGCAGCAATTAATGGACCTTTACAGTTGGGTGTGACTCTATCAAGGCAAGCAGTCCTACAGCAATCACAAAGGAACATGGAGCCCCACTGACCCCAATCACTCTCAGCCTTGTGATCGATGTCATGCTCGAGGCTACAGGACTTCAGGGATGCTGACAGTTCACATCATGAACAAAAGATTCTGTTAAGATATACCAACCAATCTACTTCACAGTCAACGACTGTTAGGAAACAAGCATGGAAAGAGGGAAATCAGTATTTGGAGTTGCTTTCCTATAAAAATATTCAGTTGTCAACAACAAAAATCTATGAGATATTTTTTAAATCATTCTCATAACCCAGGAGTGGGGTAGGAAGGGAAATTGGGTCTCAGAAACTGCCTGTAAGAGGGACCTGTCTTAAAAGGCCTTTAACATCGCTATAGTACGTTCAAAACTAATAAAAACCATGCTCAGAGAAGTAAAGGAATAGGGGATCAGATAGAAATTGAAAATGAAGAGAAATTGTAACCAATGGACTAAACCAAAGTTTTAGAATTGAAAGTACAGAGATTAAAGTGAAAATCCAGACCTGGCTGGAGTTGATCTGAATTCCTGGATGAATCAGTCTTAAGGACAAAGTGATTTAGTCTCTGTAATCTAAAGTAATGGAGGGACCAATGGGGAAAAGTGAGCAGAGCCTTCAACATGGACCAGCCCTGAGAGCACTGACAAGTGTGTAGGGGACATTGAAGGTAGAATGAGGAGAAGGAGCAAAAAACTTACAGTGGCCTAGAAGTCCTCCAATTGGATGAATGATGGTGATGTGTACATTCAAGAAACTCAACTTGGTCTAAGAAGGGTGAAATCAAAGGTCCCATGGTCACCACTTATGGTGACTTTTGATTACAAAGATAGAGAGGAAACTCTAAAAAGCTGTAAGAGAAAATAACACAGCATGTTCAAGGAAGCCCTCCAAATGTAACAGCTGACTTTTCTCCCGAACACCGAGGCCACAGAATGGAATGATGTGTTTAGTGCTGATGGAAAAACAAAGCCTGTCAACCAGAAATTTATACACAGCAACAACCTTTCAAAATGAAAGGCACAGTCCACGACATTCCTGGACAAAGCAGGGAGAATGTGCTGCCATTAGAATTCTTTACAACAGATAGTAAATTAAGTTCTTCAGAATAAAAACACAAGTGATCAGAGGAAGGAATTTAAACCTTCATGAAAAATCAAAGAGGCCTGAGAATTAATTAAGTAATTACAAAGACAGCACAGGCTCCAACCCCTCTCGTTTGTCTTAACCCACCTA